AACTATATTGTGGATGGATGGAAAAATCTTTATAATGGATAATAAAAAATTAAATCTTATATATATAAACTTATATTAAATATATTGCAATTGTTTATTTAAGTAGCGATGATGATTTTGAGAAGTAAGTACAAGTTTTTTTTTGAAAAAAATAATGGGAATACTGTTGAAAAAATATTGTCTTAAATAAATTAATTTGTGATGGTTTTTCTTTTGTTAACAAAATATATACAAATCTCAACTATACTTAAAATTAATGGAATTGCCTGTATGTTTAAATAACTAGTTTCTGCTAAATGCATATTTATATATATATATATATATATATATATTATATATATATCGCCTTTAGCAGATTTCATTTACCCTAGATATATATATTTATATATATTTTTGTATTTATTTAAATCATCTTTTTCACTTTTTTAAAATCCCGTCACCTTCTAATATTTTTGGTGATTTTTTATATGATTCGTTTTATTACTTTTTTTAATGAAATTTTATTTTTTCAAAAAAGTATCGATCGTGTACTTTCACCCCAAAAAAGGAAATATATTGAAATTTCAATAAACTCGAAAAAAAATTGAAGCAAAACTTCTTAGGCGATTTCCAACAAGGATAAAAAATTTTTTTTAAGATGTTTGTAGATTGTTTTAGTATGTTGTAGATTGTTTTATGATGTTGTAGATTGTTTTAGAGTGTTGTAGATTGTTTAAAAATGTTGTGATTTGTCTGAAAATGTTGTAAATTATCTGAAAATGTTGTGAGTTGTCTGAAAATATTGTTAATTGTCTGAAAATGTTGTAAGTTGTCTAAAAATTTTGAGGGCCGTCTGAAAATGTTGTAAGTTGTCTGAAAATTTTGAAAAACGACTAAAAATGTTGTAAGTTACTTGAAAATGTTGTGAGTCGTCTGAAAATTTTGAAAATCGACAAAAAAAATGTTGTGGGTCGTCTTAAAATTTTGAAAATCGTCAAAAAAAATGTTGTGGGTCGTCCGAAAATATTGTGAGTCATCCGGAAATTCTGTGAGTAGTCTGAAAATTTTGAAAATCGACAAAAAAAATGTTGTGAGTCGTCTGGAAATTCTGTGAGTCGTCTTAAAATGTTGTGAGTCTTCTGAAAATGTTGAAAATTGACAAAAAAAAATGTTGTGAGTCTTCAGAAAATGATGAAAATCGACAAAAAAATTCTGTGAGTTGTCTGAAAATTTTGAAAATCGACAAAAAAAATGTTGTGAGTCGTCTGAAAATGTTCAGTCGTCCGAAAATTTTGAAAATTTACAAAAAATGTTGTAAATTATCTGAAAATGTTGTAAGTTGTCTGAAATTGTTGTAAATCGTCTTAAAATGTTGCAAATTGTCTAAAAATGTTGTGAGTCGTCTGAAAATTTTGGGAATTATCTGAAAACGTTGTAAGTTGTCTGAGAATGTTATAAATTGTTTGAAAATGTTTTAAATTGTGTGAAAATGTTCTGAGTTGTCTGAAAATGTTGTGAGTTGTCTAAAAATATTGTAAGTTGTCTGAAAATATTGTAAGTTATCTGAAATTTTTGTAATTCGTCTAAAAATATTGTTAATTATTTGAAAATGTTATAAGTTGTACTGAAATTCTGAAAATGTTGTACATCGTTTGAAAATGTTGTAAATGGTCTAAAATTGTTGTATTTTGTCTGAAAATGTTGTAAATCATGCAGAAATGTTGTATCTTATCTGGAAATGTTGTAAGATGTCTGAAATTGTTGTAAATCGTCTTAAAATGTTCTGAATTGTCTGAAAATGTTGTAAGTCGTCTGAAAATATTGTAAGTTGTGTAAAAATGTTGTAAACCATCTGAAAATGTTGTAAATTGTGTGAAAATTTTGCAAATTGTCTGAAAATATTGCAAATTATCTGAACATGTTGTAAATTATCTGTAAGTTGTCTGAAAATGTTGAAAATTGTCTGAAAATATTGCAAGTTGTCTGAAAATGTTATAAATTGTCTGTAAGTTCTCTGAAAATGTTGAAAATTGTCTGAAAATGTTGTATTTCGTCTGAAAATGTTGTAAATTGTCTAAAAATGTTATAAATCATCTTGGAATGTTGTATTTTGTCAGAATCTGTTATGAGTTGTCTGAAAATCTTGTAAATTATCTGAAAATGTTGAAAATCTACTAAAAATGTTGTAAATCAACTAAAAATGTTGCGAATCGTCTGAAAATATTGTAAATCATTCAGAAATGTTGTATTTTGTCTGTAAATGTTGTGAGTTGTGTGAAAATCTTGTAAATTATCTGAAGATGTTAAAAATCGAATAAAAATGTTGTAAGTAGTCTGAAATTGTTATAAATTGTCTGAAAATGTTGCAATTCCTCTAAAAAATATCACAAGTCGTCTGAAAATGCTGTAAACCATCTAGAAATGTTGTATTTTGTCAAAATATGTTTTATTTTACCTGAAAATGTTGTAAATCGTCTAGAAATGTTTAAAACTTTTTTTTAATGCATTATTATATAAAAAATAATCATTTCAAATTAATTTTCATAAGATTGACTTATAAAAATTATTTTTATATTTAATATTCTTTTCAAATAAAGATCATGTTACGTAACTGTTACGTTCACGTTACGTTAAACACCTACATCTATTTATTATTATCTTTGTATTATTATTTTCAATATATTTCCAAATTTCATATCCTTCGTCCACGATCGATTCTCTCTCTATATATAAATATATATGTAAATGGAATAAAAATTATAAAATACGAATAGAATTAAAAACAAAAAAATTCATCATAATTGCATATTTACAAAACAAAAATTACAAAGAAACCACATTTCGTTCTTATTAACATAATTAACGACAACTATAAATTTTTTTACAATCGTAGAAAATTTATTATTAAAAAATATAAATTTAATAAGACACTTATTAAAATTAGAAACTAAGTCATCACATATTTGCGTACGGGGGAAAAAATAGTAAAAAGATTTTTTTAGTAAAAAAAAAAATTTTAAAGTTTTATTTACAAATATTTTGTAAAATTGTGGATTATTCGATGGATATTATTTATTATCGTAAAATTCCATTAGACAATAATTAAAAAATTATAATAACCTTATAATTAATTTTGTCTAAACAATAAATCTAATTTTCTGAAATCATTTAAAATCCATCGAATAACTTTTAGTTAAGAAAAAAAACAATCAAAAAATTGTATGTATATATCATGGGAGGTAAACTTAGAACAAATGCGCTTTACTGCATATTAGTGTTTTCAGCATATCACAGATGGCGCTGGTGTGCTTCAAATTATAAATGAATATAAATTTATTTATTTCAGCGTTCGTTTTAAAAACACAACAGTTTCTCTAAATATATAGTACACGTACTTTAATTGTTTAACTACTAATTTTATATATTGGAATATGTCTTTTTTGAATAAAAAAAAAGTTCAAATTTTTTACAACATATTTATAATTTTGTTGAAAATATATTTTACACGCGTATATTTTGTTTTCATTTCATTTAGTCAAATTAATCAGGTTTATCTTTTCAATATAATATATTTAAATAAATCGTATCCTAGAATTGAACCTAAGGGTTAATTTACGTGCTACGGTCGGTGGCGCCATCTATGATATGCTGAAAGAACTAAAATCGATCGATCTATGATATTTATCTATGGTATATACATAAAAGGCACTTTTCGACGTACAAAAGTTTGGCCAATATTTTATTAAAGTCTTTTTACGTAATTATTTAAAGTAGACACCGTGTGCTTTAATATTAATACAAATGTGTTTCGATCAGTCTTGCAATTTTTTTTCATATGATAAGTAGTAGTCGTGTGATAGTAATTATTAAAGTGCGCATGTTATTTTTTTTTTAATACGATAGTACAAAAATATTAAGCATTTTGGGTTTTATATATTTAAAGCCTAATCGAGTTATTCCCACATTGTTCTACAATTTTTGTTTAATTAAAGTACGCAAAAAATATATAATCTTATTTTTAATAAGTATTACGAATTGTATATACATATACATGATATATGTATATATATATATATATATATATATATATATGTATATGTATATACATTATAATTTATTATACATTGTCATTAATATGTTAAAAAATTTCGTTTTTTCATTAAGTATTTAATATTAGGCGACTCACAGTCGCTCAGTCTCCAGTTTTGCATTTATTTATTTAAATCATATGTATATATATGCTTTATTTATACTTAATTATTAATAAATTCATCTTTTATTAATATATTTGTATATATATATATATATATATATATATATATAATACAAAAGTCTAGTTGTAGCCGAAGGGAAGAAAATCTCTCTAAGTACTTTTCAAAGAATACATTTATATATATATATATATATATATATATATATATATATATATATGTATGTATATATGTATAAAATTCCATATATACCTTCATGTTTTCATAATTACTTTTAATATCAATGTTCGCCCCTCAACAATTCCATGAGAAGATTGAAACTGGGTCCTTCACCGTCCTTTGATTTTATGGTTAGCATTTCTTTGCCGACCTAAAAACAAATAAATAAATTTATTATTAAATATATAAACTAGTTATAAGTGTAATTATGCCTCAAGATAAAATTTGAATGAACTAAACTCGGTTGTATTTAGTATTTTTAGAAAACAAGTAGTCGTGTATTATATTTTCAAGTCGACTAGCTTTTAATAGGTTTGCTAATTTTCAACCTAGGTTAAGTTTGAAATGTTCGTTGATGTCCAAAAATGGTTCTTACGGCGACAAAAAATCGAATAATTGCCGGGAAAACCCTAAACACAGCCCTTTTCTTTTTCTCATACAAACGTTTTCTAACTAAAACGTAAAATCAATTTGAGCGCTATTGCTACTATATAAAGTTCATATTAAATTACAAACACTCACTGTATACTCCTAAACGATTATGCGGATTTTGATAAATCATTCTGAAATTTGTTGAGGAAATGTTCTAGGATGTATGTGAATATAAAGCACTGGGATGTATGTGCAATATTGTAGAAATAAATGGAAAAAATTGTAATAAACGACATGTCATTGCGTGCATTGAAAACAAATAAAAACTATCATCTGCCAAAAATTTCAATTTACTTATGAACCTAGACAATATAGAATATGTATAATAAATTCATGAATAAGAAAAATGAAATGTCTACATTATTATTGCCGTAAAGCAGCTGAGACGTGCCAGAAATTAAAATAATATAAAATACAGTATATGTACGGCAGATTGAATGATACACATATGAGCAGGATATGACAAATTAATTAAATTAAAATATGAAATTAAGTATTAATCTGGGCCGGTTCCACCTTTAATGCGATGCATGCGAAAAGTACGAGCGCACGCCTTAGGGGGCGCCAACACAAGATTCGGATATTAAATTTTCAATATAGTTTTTTTTCAATATATAATTTCTTTGTATCTTTTACTAATCTTTACACAATATTTTTCACTTTATAACAGCAAATGGCAAAGTAAGGATGAATACATACAATTCGGCCCTCACGATATCGATTAGGAGAAGTTTAAGATGCAATTTTGGATATCTTAAATAATAAAAAATTAAATTAATTTAATCCAACATGAAGTACCAGTGTTATGTTATGATTATAGTTATGTTATACCGTTTAAAAGACTTCAATTTCCAATATAGTGTGGGAATTGAGACACATCATTTTATTTAAAGCAGTTCTACATATAACATCGCTCATTTTGTACAATGCATATGCATTTTTGCGTGAAGAGTAATTTAAATAAACAATAATTATTATTTTTAGGTAAACGGTAAATATTAGTATATTATATTTAAAAAAATGTAGACATGGGTACAGGACAACGTCTGTCGGGTCATCTAGTAAATATTAAAAAACTCTCATTTTGATCTCTAAATGTGTTGTTACCTGGCAAGTTCTTTGCAATTCGGGAATCCTTAGCAAGAGTTCTCCAAATTTGGCAGGACTGTGCGGGTAATGAGATAAAGTGTATGCTTGTAAAGCTTGAAGAGCCTTTTCTTGAGACGCTCTTACTTTTTCAGGCTCTCTTAATTCTGATGTATCTGGAAACAAAAATATAAATATATAATAATATATATATGGGTCATTCTTTTACAAACCGAACACCAATTAACCTTGACATTTTAGAATTGTCTGAAAATTTGTTTACAGATACTATTCATAAAAGCATTTGACACGTATTTCAGGATTTTGCTGAAAAAAATTTTTTTACGTAAATATTTACGATTGAAATATCGATTTATTGCTCAATTTCTATGAACATCATCTGCGGTAAATTAATTATCTCCGGATGTGCTGATCGGATCAGTAATATTTTTTTTTTGTTACACTTATATTGAAGTGAACTTTGTAATGATTACAAAATTTTTTTTTGTTCTTGCAATTTTCTTAACAATAACGACCCTTAAATATTTACAAAGGTTTTACGCAGCCTTACCCCAACTTGAATCGATCCACAAAAAAACTTTTTTTTTTCTTTTTTTCTCTGCAACAAAATTATTTTTACAATTTGTTGGAGACTTTGTTACATCGAAAGATATTAAATATTTTCAAGCGCGAGTCGCGCTTTTCACGTCGGGGATCTCAAAGACTTGTACTCATTTGTCACTTTCGAATGACAATCTTATTGTTTTTCGGTTAAAAAATATTTTATAATTTTGCTTCTGGCGAAAATTGAATATATAGTCAAAAAAAAACATTAGGGGAGAGCGGAGCTTAAAATTTCGTGGGTAAAAAGATCCAGTGCAAATATCTCAAAAACAAGTAAAGTTAGAAATTTTTTAACAACAATATTTGAATGTAGTTTGAATACCAGAATAAGTTTCTGAGTCAGGTAAATCGTTTTGCACTGTGGAATTGTCCATTTTATTCAAAAGGTACGAACAACACATTATCCAATTGTGATTTTTTAAATTAGTATTTTGTGAAAATATTGTGTAATCACAAGTTTAATGTTTATAATGCATAGTGTAGTGCATTACCATATCCTGATACCATGGATTGTTAAAATCTTCCAATTTAACACTAAGATCTACTAATTGTAAGTACTATTTACTATTTTATTTTTTATTTTCACTCCAATTCAATTGTTTTAGTTTTTAATTTTATTTTTAGTTTCCACTGAATGAAGGCTAGGATTATAGCCGAAACGTATGGATTTAAAATAAATTTTTGAAAGAAATTCATGTTTTTTATTGATGTTATGCCCGATTATTAGACTTTGTTAATATATATATATATATATATATATATATATATGTATATATATGTATATATATATATATATATGTATATATATATATACATATATTACTCTTTACCCCGGTACATAATCCATTCCTTTATAAAAAAATTTTTTCTAATTAATCTGTATTGACCATCATTAATTAATGTTAATCAATATTTTTAAAAAACATTGTATTTGACAGAATAAACCTGATGATGGAACGTACCTAGTTCCGAAACGTCGTATTAAACATCTTCAAAAAACAAATTGTTTTTTATTATTGGATTTACTGTTCGGAAAAGAAACAATCAATATATTGAAAAAATCCAGGACTTATCTATTGAATATATATATATATATATATATATATATATATATAATTGTGTTTCTCTATTTCTCCTTACCTGATGTCAACAGTACAATAACCTTCATAGCCACGTACTCGTACCGATCAACCCTCAATCGTCTCAAATGTTCAGTAAGATTCAGCATACGTTCGATACAAGCTTGTAAGCCACTATGCCTCGCCTCTTCCAAACTAATCGACTTGCCAAGGGATACCCTGATTTCACCAGGAGATACCATGGATCGATAACAACAGGAGAAGAGCAACAGCTCGCACCAAGAATTTATCAGGAGACATATTTGGTCATCGATCTAGAGAAAAATTAATTTAGATAACTGGATTTTAATTTTGGGTATATATATATAGTGGTAGTGGTGTTTACCGATATGTTTTTGAACAGTGGTAAGCTCTTGCACCATTTAACAATTTTGTACAGTCTATGATCTGCTATATTGCACAAGTTGGCCAAGAAATCAGGATTCGAGTCGTCTCCTGTAATTCCAGCTCGAGCAAGTAAAGGATTCGTTGCTAAACTGGAAGCTGTTGATGACGATGTCGATGATGATGATGAATTTCTGGACGTGAATTTGTTGATTTCAGATTCATTGTACTGCCACAGATGCTCCACATCCATAATTTCCTGAACAAATTGAAAAAAGCATTACATGATAAGCGTCCGATTTGAATGATCTAAAAAACTTTCTCCTGGTATTGACAAAACAATTGCTTTTGAGGATAAAAAATTATTACATCTTTTTTTATTTTCCATAAAATATTTTTGTAATTTTGGATTAGAAATTCAAAAAATTACCCAGGCTAAGCACAGTCTAATCGCCACTCTGGTACAAGTGTTTACCCAAGTGCGTTTAGACTGCTTATGTACTGGAAACTTTTCCAATTTTGTGAAAACTATTGAAAAATGTGAAAATGTCGCCAAGCTAAGCACAGCATAAGTGAAAATGTCGCACAGAATTATTTGCAAATGCAAGTTTAGACTGTGACTATACTGGAGCACTTTTTCAATTTTGTGTAAATTAGGCAATTATTTTTTAACTTCTCGTAGGGTAAGTTATTGTAATCGTCCAAAAACCGAAATTGAAAATTTTTACATTTCTCGACGTTTTGAAGGTTTCTGAACATTTTGGCATACTTCAGAAAAAATGGATGTGTGTGTGTATATATATATGTATGGATACAATTTTTCGTCCACCTTTTCGGGCGTACGGATCAACCGTTTTGAATGGTTTAAAAAACATTCGATCCCTATTGATAGGGAGATGTGCTGATTAGTTTTTGGCAAAGGCAGGTCCAGCAGTTACGGAGATAAAGAGCAAAGAGTGCAGAAAATAGAAATCTAATTTTTGAGAGAACGGAGTATCCGATTTGAATGGTTCCAAAAACATTCAATTCGTAATGACGCGGAGAAGGGGTGATTAGTTTTTGGCAAAGGCAGGTCCAGTGGTTTCGGAGATACAGAGCTAAATGTGCAAAATATGGCAGTTTTTGAGAGAACTAAGCGTCCGATTTGTATGATTCAAAGAACTTTCTGCCTGTCTTAACAAATTTTTGGTATAGTATAGTTTATGTTTTCATCAAAAAATCCGAATTGCTAATTTTATGTTTTCTCGACGTTTCAAGCCATTCTGAATCGAATGAGACCAACATTTGGGAAAAATATGTGTGTGTGTGTGTGAACAGATTTTTGCCGTAAATCGACGTTTTCTCAAAAACGGCTGGACCGATTTCAAAAATTTAAAACTCATTCGATGTATCTCGATGAGGACTAGCGTTTCTAACTTTTGTACGACGATCGGGCGAGCCGTTTCTTTGTAAATCGCAGAAAAGTGAAAAATTTTACGTCCACGTTTTAGGCCGAAATTCTGAATCGATTATGAAAATTCAAAAACTGTTCGAAACATATTGGTTGGGAATCGACCTGATTAGTTTTTGGTAAAGATCGGCTGGGCCGTTTTCTTGTAATAGAGTATTAAAAAAAAATTCCGACGATTTTCATAATTTTTGTTTTGACGGTAATACCATAGTCTTATAGATCATACTGAAATATTACGGTACTACGACAAGTAGTTTAATTTTAAAGAATCGCCAAAGTTTGCAAAAATTAGCGTCATTTTTTGACGTTTGTCAAAATTAGAACTTTCATCGACGTTTGCACAAAAACGCTTGAACCGATTGCATAAATTTAAAAGCCAATCGATGTATTTTAATGTGGATTTTCTTTTCTCAATTTTGTGCAGCGATCGGCCGAGCCGTTTCTTTGTAATTTGAAAAAAAGTTTTAAACTCTTCGTCCACATTTAAGCTCAAACTGCCGAATCGATTTTAAAAAATCAAAAACTGTTCGAAAGATATTAGTTGGGAATGGTACTGATTAGTTTTAGGTGAAAATCTACCGAGCCGTTTTCTTGTAATTAACTGTTAAAATAAAATTTTAAGCCGATTTTTATGGAACTTTTTTTGGCGATATAGATCATGGTCTTATAGAACTTACTGTAATATTACGGCCTTACGACAAGTAGTTTAATTTTAAAAGTTCATCAAAATTTGAGAAAATGAGTAGTTTTTTGATGTTTGTTAAAATTAAAATTAGATGATCTACTTGGTATAACAATAGAGTACTTGGTCTTAATCAACATACTAAACCATTAAAGTCCTACGGAAACTGGTTCAATTACAATTATTAATTAATTAAAATTATTGATTTGTGAAAATTTGCTTTTAGAAAATACTCCGAGTTAACATGTTCGTTCGTTTTTAATTATGAGAAATAATTCCACTCGGAATACTTTTAATCGCTTATAAATTGATTTATTTTTTATTGATTAAATAGATTATTTAAACATATCGGGAAGTTCATGTAACTCGCCTCAAGGCTAAATAACAAACCAACTAGTTAAACAAGTTCTGCAAGACATACAGTCTTGGGAAAATACTTCCACACACACATCCATTTAGTTTCTGAGGTATACCCCTTAAAAATGTTCAGAAACCTTCAAAACGTGAAGAAGTGCAAAAATTGTCATTTTCCGATTTTCGGCCCATTACTATAACTACCCTACGGGAAGTTAAAAAGCATTACATGTGTCAATTAATATTATGTTATTGTTTTTTTGGATGTTGTTTTGATTGATTGCCTTGTGAAGGACCAATTGTAAAATACTTTATTGATAACTGTATATATTTATTTTATAAGTTATAATAGATAGTATTTACTAGGGAATGCATTACCGATATAGCGGTATACCGAATTACCGGTAAACCGTCCGATTTTTTGGCGGTATTTTTACCGGTATTTACTCCAAAAATACCGATATTTTCGGTATTTTTACATAAGCGCTATTTGATACATGATACATTAAAGTTTAAATTTCTCGGAACAAATTTATCTTTAAATGCCATAATCGCATAAACAGCTATATCTTCAAGTGATTCTATAGGATAAACAAATGTCAAATATTATCTCAACTCGTCATTAAACTGAATATTTATTGCTTTCCAAAGGGCTTCATATCGTGTTACAATAAATAAAATTGGACTGATAGATAATGGTGTTTGTAACATCTTATGTAAAAATGTAACAGTTTTTTAAGTGATATTTGCGCCAAAATATTTTATATCATACAGATTACCTCTGCGTGATATTTATTTTTTTCTAACTTTATACATAATAATAATGATAATTACTAAATATTTTTGCTTCTTATTACAATTATAAAATATTATTTTTTGAAAACGTTTCCAAGTTTGACAATTCTATAGAACCATCGCATTGTTTTAAATAACAATACTCAACAATTCTAGTAACTTATTATTTATCTCGACAAAGTATGCGATCTTAAATAAATGTAAAAAAAATATTTTTGGAGATTATGCTAATTTAACACATCGGATACAGACAGTACAATTTATTATAATAATGTAATATGATCTTTTGTGAATTTTTCGAAAGGGATAATGAATTAATTAAATTGGATATAATGTTGTTAAATTATCATAAAAAAAAAATTATTGTTTTATTTTATTGTTTTTATTGTTTAGTTGAATATAGTTGTAGTTGTATATACATTTTTTTATATTTGTACTAATAACTTTCAATTTTGTTTACGTTTGTTTAAGGATAATAAAAATACCGGTAATTTACCGGTATTCCGGTTTTAAAATGAAAAATTACCGAAATACCAGTAATGAAATTTTTCATCGGTATTGCATTCCCTAGTATTTACAATCATTTTAATATGTTTTTGATTACGTATTGATTGATTTGATTTTGGTTTGATTATCGATTGATGATTTTTTGTTTTCATATCAATATATGTCCATTATTACCTGTAACAATGCCGGTATTCCGCCGCCCTGTGCCTCGTTCTTGACACCGGCATGGTGCTCTCCTAATGCAGGGCTCCCCGGAGTCAGAGGCGACTGTTGCTGGTGGCCGTGGTGAGAATGGTGATGGGGCCCCATCGGATTCTGTCCGGAGCCCCCGGAAGACAGGGGCGAAATCGATGTCTGCTGTTGCTGCTGCTGCGAGTTGTGGGAGGATGTATGAGGCGGCACCGGGGCGTAGGAGCACTGGTAGGTGCTGCGGCCGCCGCGGGTTCTGTCTTCGCGAATCGCTGGATAATAGATATAAGGTTGAAATTTTGGGTAAAGTAGAAGGTTTTGTTAACTTGCCGAAGGAGACGTTTATGTTTTTATAAAAAAATCTGATTTGGTGATTTTGTGTTTTCTCTTGGACGTTTCGAGACATTCTGAATCGAATGAGACCGAATTTAAGGAAAAAGTATGTGTGTGACTGTGAACAGATTGACGTTCTTTCAAAAACGGCTGGACCAATTTAAAAAAAAAAAGTCATTTGATGCACCTCGATGAGGTAATACCACACTCTGATTTTTAGTAATATATCTAATATAAAAATTGAATATGTTACTCTGGCGCCAATAAAACAAAATGAAAATCTCTTAAAGGGGTTACACCACTGTAGCAGCCTAAAAAACGTATGTTTTCGCCATTTTGTTTCGGGTGGAAGAAAATGTAATAAAATCATGCTATTAAAGATACTTATTAACTTCCCGTAGGGTAAGTTATAGTAATCGCAAAAAAATCGAAAATGAAAATTTTTATATATCTTTACGTTTCAGAGGTTTCTGAACATTTTGGCATACCTTAGAAAAAATGGATGTATGTGTGTGTGTGTGTGTGTGTGTGTGTGTGTGTGTGTGTGTGTGTGTATGTATGTATGTATGTGTGTGTATGTATGTGCGGATACAAATTTTCGTCGACGATTTCGGGAACACGGATCAACCGATTTGAATAAATCAAAAAACATTCGATTCGTATTGATAAGGAGACGTGCTGATTAGTTTTTGGCGAAGGCAGGTCTAGCCGTTCCGGAGATACGGGGCAAAAAGTGCCGAAAACGGTAACTCAGGTTTTAAGAGAACGGAGCGTCCGATTTTAATAATTCAAAAAACATTTTACTTGTATTGACAAGATAAAGAATTGATCAAATTTTCATAAAGGCAGGTCTAGCGGTTTCGGAGATCTAACAAAAAAAGTAAAAAAAAATGCCATTTGGCGGTCAAAAATGATCATTAGACATATGCACATCAAATTTTCAGATATTTTATAGAGATTTTAACAATAAGTTTAAATTTTGTTTATTTTTCTATGGTTCCGTACCAATGTTTACCCGTTAGACAGCGACGCCGCGCTTACGCGCTTTATATTTTGTCTCTATGCAGTTAAAGCAGTACGATTGCTTTGAAAAACAAGTTCAGATCTTCCAAAATATGTCAAAATAAAGAAAACATTTTTTTTCAAAAAAAAAAATAAAAAAAATTTTTTTTTTAAAAAAATTAAAAAAAAATTTTTTTTTTTCAAAAAAAAGTAATTTTTTGTCCAATTTATAGTTTCTCAAAAATCTTATTTTTTCGAAGTAAATTTTTTTCAAAAATGTTAATCGTTTTTAAAAAAAATAATAATTTTTGGTACGGGAAGTTCCAGCAATTTGCCTTAAGGCACGATGCCCTAATTGCCTTAAGACAGAATTCCACTTACAGCTAGTTTATTGTACTTTAAAGTAACAAAATAAAATATAATTGGGGAAAAAAATTAAAAACGACGGTACCACAGCCATTTCGACGAGCCGCGTCAAATTGGAGGCGTTCCGCGGCACGCAAAATAACTGCAACAATTTGATTTTTTTTTCATTCGAATTTTCAATAGCATATTTAAAATAACATTTTAAAGTGCCCATCATAGCGGATTTTTTATTTATTTATTTATTTATTCATGAGCAAGCCGTAACCAATAATAATAGATATTATTTCAGACTCTTGTCAAGAGATTTAAAAAATATCGATTTTTGTTTGTTTGGCGAGCACTTTACTCAAAATCGTTGAATTTCAACGAAATAAAACGGATAGTAATTTGTTAATAATTGATGAACAAATTAACATATATATGATATATGATGGATTTTGACGCGGCTCGCCGAAATGGCTGTGGTACCACCATTTTTTTTTTACAATTATATTTTATTTTGTTACTTTAAAGTACAATAAATAACTATCCTTAATATCATGATTTTAATACTTTTCCTTCCGTCCGAAAAAAAATGGCAAAAACATACGTTTTTTTTACTGCTAGAGTGGTGTAACCCCTTAAATAGATATTTAAGTTAAAAAAATTGTTTATTTTTGGATTTTTCATGCTTTTGAAGCACCTGTTATGCTGATTCTTAAACTACTACTAGTTTTTACACCAACTTTATTTTTTTAGTCAATTTATAATTAGTGATGGCATCGTGCCTTAAGGCAAATTGTTGGAACTTTCTATACCAAAAATTATGTTTTTTTTTTTAAAAAAAAAGATTCAATTTTTTTTAGAACTTAGAAAAAAATAGATTTTTGAGATTTTTAAAATATTGGAGAAGAATTGACTTTTTGAAAAAAAAATTTTTTTTATACTTTAAATTTTTGGACATTTTGATTTTTTTTTCAAGGCAATCGCGATACCTTAGATGAGGACTATTGTTTGTCAGTTTTGTACGACGATCGGCCGGGCCGTTTCTTTATAAATAGCAGAAAAGTGAAAAAATTTTCGTCCACGTTTTAGCCCGCAGTTCTGAATCGATCTTGAAAATTCAAAAACCGTTCGAAAGGTATTGATTGGGAATCGTGCTGATTAGTTTTTGGTAGAGATCGGCCGGGCCGTTTTTTTGTGATAAGGTTTAAAAAAAAATCGACGATTTTTTTTAATCATTTTTTTGACGGTAGATACCATAGTCTTCTAGATCATACTAAAATATTACGGCCCTACGACAACTCGTTTATCTTTAAAAATTCGCCAAAGTTTGCAAAAATTGGTATCGTTTTTTTGGCATTTGTCAAAATTAGACATTTGATCGACGTTTTCTCAAAAACGCCTGAACCGATTTCAGAAATTTAAAAGCCATTTCATGTATCTCAATGACGACTCTCGTGTGTCAGATCTGCCGAGCCGTTTCTTTGTAATTTGAAAACAAGTGTTAAACTTTTCGTCCACATTTAAGCTCAAACCACCGAACCGATTTTAAAAAATCAAAAACTGTTCGAAAGATATTAGTTGGGAATGATGCTGATTAGTTTTAGGTAAAAATCTACCGAGCCGTTTACTTGTAATTAACTGTTGAAAAAAAAAATCAATCCGATTTTTATGAAACTTTTTTTTGGAGATATATATCATGGTCTTATAGAACTTACTGTAAAATTACGGCCTTACGACAAGTAGTTTAATTTTAAAAAATCATCAAAGTTTGAGAAAATGAGTAGTTTTTTTGACATTGGTTAAAATTAAAATTAGACGATTTAGTTGGTATAACGATAGTGTACTTGGTCTTGAACATAGTAAACCATTAAAGTCCCACGGAAACTGGTTCAATTATAAAAATTGTTGACTTGAAAATTTCTTTCACAAAATACTCCGAGAGTTAACGTGTTCGTTCGTTTTCAATTATGTGTAATAGATCCACTTGGAATCTTTTAATCACTCATAAATTAAATTATTTTTTATTGATTAAGTCGATTATTTAAACATATCGGGAAGTTCATGTAACTTGCCTCAAGGCAAAATTCCAATACCAACTGGTTTCATATCCTTACCTTCTAGTTTCATTCCTCGTTGTAGGCATTTATCGAAACGGCAAGCTGGGCACTTTTTTCTTGTGGCAACACTCACTGGGCAAGTTGCACCTCTGAGACAAACATAGTTTTTTCTATTCTGCACCGTTCTTTTGAAAAATCCTTTGCACGATTCACAAGAGAAAATCCCGTAATGGAATCCTGAGATTTTATCTCCACAGATCGGACAAGGACTGAAAAAATGATTTACATATATATATATATGTATATATATATATATATATATATATATATATATATATATATATACATACTAGTTGACCCGACAAACGTTGTTTTGCTAAGTAAGGTATATTCCAAACAGTTTCTAGAGAATCAAAAATATTTCATACTTTAAGTGTATAAGGATGTGTTGTTTGAATGCTATTTACAATGAGGTATTATAAAAACAATAAACCCCATTAGTTTGTCTATATTTTGTCTGGAAGTTTTATACACTTTCTATAGAAAACATGGTATAATCCATTCCAAGTCTTTTTTGGTCTTTCGACTCTTTGATTACATTCCAAGTTTTTCAGATTCTTTTTTTGATTCTGGATTTTGTGTATAATTGTAAATAATACTACTGAGCTTATACAAAATTTTCAAATTTCTGCGAGGAGAGATAGAAAATGAATTAAGTATTTGTTCTTTGACATGCTTTTTGAAAAGTTTCAAGTAACATTCGATGAATTAAAGAAATTTAATAAAAGTTATATGTAGAGCAGGGCGAGGCACAAAGGTCCAATTTGACTTTGAGCAAATATGAATTATATTATAATAATCAAACCAATTATATCACAACAAATAACACATTTCAAGCGAACAATGATCTGACTACGTTCAGTAAAACTGCCAGCTACTTCATCATTGTATAAATGTGCTTTTTTATGCCTTCCAAAAATTTGTTACCTAGACTTTTTTACCCCATAGACAGGGTAATTTGGTACGGCAAGGTGGCAAACAGGTTTAATGTCTTATTTTAATTTTAAAGGTATTTTACAAAATAATTACACTTTTAACTAATGCTATAAAACTACCAACGGAAGACAATACTTTTATTATGGATTTTCAAAGGACCGTTTATCTCCTTAGAGCAAAGTCATAAGAATCAAGGTTATAGCTTTTTATACATCTTTTTCCCTCTACTTTCGAATATTGTTGTTAAATAATGTTTAACTTTACTGGTTTTTGACATATCGGTGGTGGACCTTTTTAACCCCGGACTTTCATATATTTCTATCTATTCTTCGATAAATTCTGGGAAATTATAGCTGGGATAATGTTATTCGACAAAATGTCCCTTTGATCGATACCAAACTTATGTTCTGAATTTAAATAACAAATAAAAAATAATATAGCCTAGAACATGTTTCATAAATACCAATGAGTATATAATTATACAAATGAGATCTTTCAGAGCACCGTGTTTGAGAAAAATATGATTTGCAAAAATTGCATTTTCATATTAACATTTCCAAAAAGTTGATATTTTGAGTTTCTAGTAACGCTTGCGGCCCGTTTAATAACGTTTTTGTATATAAATAAAACTATAAACAAAATTACTCACTACAATTTAATCATAATTAAATAATATTCACGTATTCACATCCTATTAAACGTAATTGAACATCATCTGTCAAAAACGTTTAACATTTGACGTATTAGCCACCGTCAATTGTTTTATTCAAATTGCGCTTCTACAAAAATGTTCAAATTAAAAATGTAAAGTTTCTACGCGATTTTGAAATAATATCTCACCTTTCCGACAACCTACTGATTAGCACGAATTTTTCAAGACTAAGACTGGCCAAATCGATTCAGCCGTTTTCGAGTTTTATTCGGACATTTGAAAGAGAGCTCCATTTTTATATATACGATATATATATATATACATATTGTTGAGCGCCAATTAGCTCTTCTCTTCATCAACCGATTTCGTTAGATGTATAGTAATA